GTGTGTGTGTGTGTGTGTGTGTGTGTGTGTGTGTGTGTGTGTGTGTGTGTGTGTGTGTGTGTGTGTGTGTGTGTGTGTGTGTGTGTGTGTGTGTCTGCGTGTGCTCTTTTCCTCCCGACGCGTCTCACCCTTCACTCATCACCATCACCACCACCATGATCATCACCACCACCATGATCATCACCACCACCACCATGTTCACCGCCACCGCCATGATCACCACCACCAGACGCGTATGACCCGGCGTCTGCGGGCCGCGTGCGCTTCAGTTCGGGGCGATTAATGTTCTTTGATGGCCTCATTGAGCAGTTTGGAATGGTGAGACGATGGAGTCGGTGGTGATGGTGTTCGCTCTGGACGTGGGTAGATGCTACTTTTATGCTTTTGCTGGCACGATACATTCGAGCGGTGATGCACACATGCATGCATGAACATACACTCACTCACTCACTCACTCACTCACTCACTCACTCACTCACTCACTCACACACGCATGTACACGCATATACACGTGTCCACACCGACACACACACGTGTCCACACTTACCGCGCACAACGTGTGCAGAGCAAGACGCGTTCGTTTTCGCAGCTGTTTGACCGAATTATGACGCGACTGGAGGAGGTGGCGGGCAAACCGGGCAAAGGTGATGGTGACAGTGGTGGAGAGATGGGGTTGTTGATGGAGTGGAGTCATTTGTGTTGTTGATTCTTTTTTTGTTTTTTTTGAATGGCATCGTCATTTGTGGAGCTGTGCTCGCGTGTTAAGTCCTATTGAGCACACATACATTCACACACCGCACATGCGTTCACATACATACATTCGCACGTCCACACATACCTTCACACGCATGCGTTCACATACATACACTCACACGTCCACACACGCCCCCCCCCCAACCCTCCCCCTCCCCACCCTCAAACATCATCCCCTCCACCAACCACCAGAGAGCGACGCTGCGTTCTGCGCATCGCTCGCGGGGGCGCTGCTGCCCGCCGTCCTCGTCTGCCTGGACGACTTTGGACACAGCAGCGCCGACGCAATCCGTGAGTGGGAGGAGGGTATGTGAGAGTGGTAGATTAAAGAGATAAATGAAGGATGGGGGGGGGGGGGGGGTTGGCGACTTGGGAACACAATGACTCGATTGCTGGCGGTGGAGGGAGGTGGGCTGACATGTTGCGTTGGAGAGTCTGCAACATGACTGTTTGCTCGCACTTGCACACACGCACACATGTACATGTACATGTGCATGAGGTTTATTTCACCCACTACTCGTCTCACATCACGCCACACCACATGCACGTTTCCCCTTTCCCCCCTGCTGCATCAGGAGAAACACCGCTGTACATGTGGCCGCAGCTTCCCGAGTTCCCTCTGCCGCCGGCGTCGCACCACGTCCTCATCGCCCGCGCTCTCGACGCACAGGTAGGCGTCGTGTGTGTGTGTGTGTGTGTGTGTGTGTGTGTGTGTGTGTGTGTGTGTCTGTCTGTCTGTGTCTGTCTGTCTGTCTGTCTGTCTGTCTGTCTGTTTGTGTGTCTGTTTGTCTGTGTGTCTGTGTGTGTACCTATCTGTGTGTGCGTGTATGTGTGTGTGTGCTCGTCATGCCTTGAGTGCGTGCGTCTTCCTCACACACACGCGCGCACATGTATGAACCCAAAACATATGGCCCGCAGGCGTCACAGCAGACCAAGTTTGCCGCGCTGGCGCAGCAGCTGCTGTCACAGTTGACAGCACGCGAGCCCCGCATGTCACTGCACGTACTGCTGGTGGCACTCCGTGACCGTTCGTCCAGACAACGCCCCCAGGACTCCACGGCCATGAGGACGTACATGCGTCTGCACGACAAGACGAACATGCGGCAACTCGTGGAGGTAAGGAGGCAGCAGTGCCCAAAACCAGATGCAACCAAAGCATGTCCGTGCAAGTCTGTGCAAGTGTGTGCAAGTGTGTGATGATGACACAGTTTGGGTGTATGCGTGTGCATGTCACATGCATTGTACACATGTGTGTGTGTGCAACAATATTGTCGCCTGTCATTTTCCCCCGTGATTGCCATCCCACAAACAACCCTCTTTTTTGCTCTCACCGCAACCACAACCAAACACACGCCACCAGCCCGTGTTGCGTGACATATCCACTGCCGCTGCCGACCTCCCACCGCTCGTCGATCCACTCCTTCTCCACGCCGTGCATGCGCTCGGCGTCGCGTGTGTGTCGTGCAACCCCGTCCTCCTCCACGCGCTGTGTGCGCGCCTGTCTGTACGCGGGTGGTCTGCGCTGTGCCACGCCCTCTCGTGCATCGCGCTGCCCAAACTCCTCGTTGGCGATGATCAACGCGACAATGATTCCGATGCCCAGCAGCCGGTCGCCAGCTCATATCCAGCCATGCCCCCGCCAAGGTGCCGTCCTCGCTGCATTGCATTGCGTTGTTTTGTTTGTGTGTATGTGTGTGTATGTGTATGTGTGTGTGTATGTGTATGTGTGTGTGTATGTGTATGTGTGTGTATGTGTGTGTGTGTGTGTATGTGTGTGTGTGTGTGTGATCAATCAAGTATCGAGGCTGCAGCCCCTCATCTCTCAAAATGCCACACTGTCTGTAAAGTCTCACCATCACGCCTTCACGCCATCACACGCTCACACCTTCACACCCTCCCATTGCACATTGATCCATTCCACCACTGTTCCAATCACCCCCCCCCCCTTCCCATTCAAGTGCCCCTGTACGACTGCAGCGGCGCGTGCGGCGATTATGGCAAACTGTGATTGCAGCAATGGCATTGGCAGGGACAGCAGCCACCACATCAACAACTGACTCTGCGTCTCCTCCTCGTGAATATGAAGCCGATAGCGGTGATGGTGCCGCTCTGAGCGCCACAGCATCACACGCCAACGCTTCTCCGAATCAGCACAATCATCAGCAACACCACCATTCTCGTCGCCGTTGGGGTATTGCGGCATCTGCGGCTGTTCGGCATCGGCTGATGGAAGTGATGGACTTGGAGCTTTGCATGGTGGACCCTGCATTCTCCCTGGAGGTGGGGACGCAGTCGACTGTGTGAGCGAGGGAAGAGGGGGGGGGGGAGGGAGGAAAGCTGCTTGGAGGTGCTGCAGTTGTTTGTGGTGTGCGGCGAGCGAGAATGTTGTCAGGGCAAGTATTTGAACCAGACGCACATACCGCAAACACACACGACACACACACACACGCACACACACACGCACACACGCACATACACACGACACACCGGCACGCGACTTCAGGTTGTTCGCCAGGCGCCGCCGGCCGCTGCCGTCCATTTCCACTCCGCAATTGCGCGAATCCTCACCCGTCTGGGACCAACAGCAGGTGGCGATGATGGTGGTGGTGGTGGTGGCGGCGGTGGCGGTTGTTGCGAGATTGGGGCATTTGCTCCGCTGTCTCAGCAACTGTTTCACAAACACACACACACACACACACACATACACACACACACACACACACACACACACACACACACACACACAAACACACATTTCATTCTCACACTTCACACACGCGCGCACACGCGCTCACACACATGACACACCAGCCACCCTGCGACTGGTAATTGCGCTGCAGTCATCGTGTGCGCACGTGACCGCGTCTGTTGTCGGCGTGTGGGCGCAGCAGCAAGCAGGGCAGCTCTTCGAGGCAGCACGCACGCTGCTCACACACGTGGAGGCAGACGTGGTTCGGGAGGAGAAGCAGCGAAAGGATGGTGATGGTGGTGGCGATGGTGATGAGACAGGAAAGGTTGATGCGAGCGGTGGCTCCCCGTCGCCGTCCTGGCTCTGGTTAAACGAGTTGAACGCGTTTTGCAAAGAGACGACGCGTGGCTCTAATATCGTGAGTGTTAACGTGCCATGTACGTGTGCATGCGGTGCGGATTGCATGTGTGCGTGTGTGTGTGTGTGTGTGTGTGTGTGTGTGTGTGTGTGTGTGTGTGTGTGTCGTGTGTGCATGCGATGCGGATTGCATGTGTGCGTGTGTGTGTGTGTGTGTGTGTGTGTGTGTGTGTGTGTGTGTGTGTGTGTGTGTGTGTGTGTGTGTGTGTGTGTGTGTGCTTGCGTCGTCCTTTGCACACTCGCTCACTCTTTCCTCACACACACACACACATCCCACAGATCAGCCTGGTGAGAGGAACGCTGGTGAAAGACCTCGCTGTCCGCGAAACACTGGTGGCAATCTTCACCGCAGGTCAGTTGGCACACATGCATACGTGTGTGAATGTGTGCATGGTGTGTGCAAGCATGCGCCTCATCGTTCTCGTTGCATGCTTTCTCTTATTCACGCGAATAATATGCGTGACTGCCTGTTGCATTGCAGCCCCGCCGTCCTGGCGCACGGACTTTGCCGCGCTTCTCTCGCTGTCGGGCATCCATACGTCATCGTCCTCGACAACATCAACGACGCAATGACACGCAAACAAACATGTAAAAAGTAAAATAAGGAACACACACACACACACACTCAACCACACAACCACACATGCACACGCGCGCTTTCCGTCTCATCGCAAGTTCTGGTATTTCCTTGTATTGTTGGTGGTTTCAATGGCAAGCGCAGCACGTACACACACACACACACACACACACACACACACACACACACACACACACACACACACACACACACACACACACGCCCACTGCGAACAAATAAACGTGCGTAAACTGAATGTCAAACGCAATCTCATGACGCGAGTGGAAACATGAAAAATAAAATCAATGTACATCAGAACAATGCAGGATACGCTTGCACGCGCGAAAGTGTGATCACGAAAACCTCGCACCATCGCCACCACCATCATCATCAACAACAACACCATCAAGTCTCCATCATTCTATCATTCACAGACCCATTGTCTTCCACTCAGGGCCTCGCCACTATCAGCGACTAGTCTATCAAGATTGTCCATCGTCGTCCTGTCCAATATCATAATCACTACCTCTGCTGTCCTTTGCCTCGAACACTCACCACCACGTGCACACACACACACACACATACACACACACGATCACTCGTACAACTCACGCAAACGCCCTCACTTTGTGTTCCTGCCCCTCACACGCTGTGTTGGCTCGAGCCAGAATTGCGTGTTGGGAATCACCACATCCGCATACGTCCTGTCGCCCCTCTTGTTGCCCACAACACCATCGCCATCTGCCCCCTCGCCATTGGCCTTGTCCCCGTCGTCATTGCGACCATCATCATCACCATCATCATCACCATCATCACCGTGACCATCATCACCACCACCACCACCAATGCCCTCCGCGTCCTCGTCGTCAAAACCGACATTGCCGCTCACGTCAGCGCGCGCATACCGGAGACCGATTGTGTACGGCCCGGCGCCCTCACGGTGAAAGTTGAAGGGAAAGTGGTTGTCGGTTGTCCACGTCAAGCGGTGCGTGTACACGTGATAACCGCTGTCGCTCGCCTCGAACGAGACGTCGGCGTCGTTCCTACTCGTGGCTCCGCCCTCCTTCTCTCGCGTCACCGCTCGCGTGTGGCGTGCACTGCTTCGCCGGCTGCTGCTCCTTTCCACGTTCCTGCGCTTGTTCGCGCCCTTGCCTCTCGTCTGCCGACTCGCATCCTCTTCCGCCTTCACCTCACGACGACCACTGCTGCTGTCACCATCGTCGCGATCGCCATCGTCTACTTCGCCGTCATCACCGGCACGGGACAGTGTGCTGCTGCGTGTGCCTAGCGCGGCTTCCGGCACGGCTGTGAGCTGGCGCGTGCGGTTGAGCACGTGCGGTGGCGATGGGGGCAGACACGCCGCCAACTTCTTGCTGGGCGACAGCAGCAGCACCGCCACGGGCTGCGGAGCATCGCTCGGCACAAACACGACCACATCCGCACCCTGCTGCATGCTCAGCCGCGCCGTGTCCTTCTTCTGCTTGCGCCCGGCGCCAACCAGCAGGAACAGGTGGCATTTGAAAGGGTGGCACACGCCCGAGCGACCCATGCGCGCGGCAACGACGCCACCGAGGATGGCGCGACGTGCAGTCGCACCAGTCACGAGGTCGACAGGCACCAGTTCACGCACCGGCTGCTGTGTTGCTGGTGGTGAGGTTGCTGCATGATCACTGCTGTTGTCGCTGCTTGTGCCGTCACCAACACCATCGGCATCGCCATTGCCGCCTTTCGCGCTCTTCACACCCTTCACACCCTTCGCACTCTTCGTACCCTTTGCACCTTTCGTGTGGCCCTGGCGAGAAGCGGAACGAGCAACCTCACCACCACTGCTGCCATCACCATCGCCCTCATCATCATCGTCGTCATCGTCATCATCATGACCATTGTCACCAGCGTGGTGGTGGCGGCGGCGGCGGCGGTGGCGCGGGGGCGCTGATGCCTCGCATGCGCGCAGCACTCCATTGGAAAGCTTTTCCAGTACAACAGGCAGGAGTGGCGGCATAATCTCACTGCGCGACGAAGGCGCGGTTGTCTGCTGCTGTAGCTGCTTGCTTTTTCGTTGTTGTTGCTGTTGCTGTTGCTGTTGCTGTTGCTGTCGTTTGCGCGGCTGCTGCGGCTTCTTTGCTCGCGACCGCGTGCGTGTTGGGGCTGGCGACGATGATGGACGCGACGTGTCAATGTCACTGTCACTGTCACTGTTGCTGTCATCATTGCTGCTGCCGCTGCCGCTGTTGCTGCCGCTGCTGTTGGTATCATCATTGCTGCTGCGTGTGCCTCTCATTGTTCTGTTGCGTCTGCTCGGCTTTATCTGCTTCTGCCGCCGCTTCCGCTTACCGCTGCGAAGCGAGGATGCAAGCGACGATGGAGACACTGGTGACGACGACGACGATGATGATGCTGATGACGGTGACGGTGATGAGGAGCGCGACGTCACGGCGGAAGACGACGACGACGACGAGGAGGAGGAGGAGGAGGAGGAGAGGGACGTCACTGATGCCGCCCCCGACGACGACGACGAGGACGAGGACGCCGCCACGTGTGCCAGTGCTGTGCGTTCTGGCGACGCAGCGCGGGACATGATACGTGATGACGACGATGACGACGACGATGTGGATGGTGATGTGGATGCGGTGCCGTTCGTGGCTTGACGGCGGTGATCCTGGCGACCACGACGATGCTGGCGGCCGCGGCCATGATGATGACGACGATGGCGACGACGGTCGTGATGACTGCGACGCCGCTCACCTTTGCTGCCACCACTGCCATCGCTGTCATCATCTGTGCTCGCGTCAGAGCCTGCTCCCGTGTCGTCACCACCATCGTCATCGTCGTCACTGGCACTATGTTTGCTGGTGTTGGCACGCTTCTTTCGGCCCCTGGTCAGCTTGCCGCCATCACCACCCTTCTGCGTCTTGGTTTGGTCATTTCCCTGGCCGCGTTGCCACTGCTGCCACGGCTGCCACGGCTGCCACGGCTGCCACGGCTGTTGTTGGTGGTGTTGTTGAAGCAGCATTGCCTGGTACGCGTAGATGCGTGGGTCAACGACTGACATGGTTCCATCGGGCATGCGCACAAGCGCGTTCGGCATTCCCGCCAGTAGCGGCGCTGTTGCCGACGACGCTGCTGTTGCTGTTGTGGTTGCTGTGGGCGGGGCGATGGAGGATTGCATCATGCCTGGAAATGGTTGCATCATACCACCGCCCCCATGCATGGCTGCCATTGCAGCCATCATTGCGGCAGGGTTCATCGCATATGGATACGGCTGGTGGGGCAATGAAGACGCCGTGAGGGAGGAGGAGGAGGGCCCGGTGCAGGGTGGCGGTGCTGCTGCCATGTTTGCTGCCGGCATTGGTGGCGTTGGTATTGGCACTGGTATTGTCGTTGCTGGCGGTGGTGGTGGTGTTGTTGTTGTTATTGTTAGTGGAGTTGGTGCTGCTGTTGCCGGTGGTGCAGCGGTGGGCCATCCCCTTGTTGCTGCAGCCGTCAGCCCTGCCGCTGTGGCCGGTAGTGCTGGTGCTGCCGGTGCTGCTGTTTGCAGCGAGGACGGGTGGGCAGCCAGTCCGCCCGCAGGTGGTGGCGGCATCATCGTGGGTGGCATGGCAAACGGGTAGCGGTTGAGTGGCATCAGCTTCGGAGGCTCCATGCCTGGTGTCGACGATGCTGTGGCCTGCGACACGGGTGCGGTTGGTGTTGTGCCGTTCAGGTTGCTTGTGCTGTTCTTGCTCTTCTGCTTCTTCTTCTTTTTCTTCTTCTTGCCCCTGTGCAGCTGGTCCTGCGGCTGTTGCTGGCGCTCGTGCTGCTGTCGCTTCGCACCACCCTCACCAGTGCTGGCACCACCACCACCACCACCATCATCATTGTGCACAGCACCGTGCATTGGTCCCGCTTCACTCTCAATCACCTCCTCCTTGATGCGCGGTTGCGGCACCGTCGGCGTGGCTGAGGACGTCGGGCCTGATTGGGCGGCAGAGGCGCCGTAAACCTGCGGCTGGGTGCCAATGTTGCCTTGTGGCGGTTGCGCCTGCTGTTGCAGCTGCCATGGGCTTTGCTGCATGGGGGCGTGGGCTGCGTTGTTCCAGCCACCGCCGCCGCCACCACCACCACCACCACTGCTGTAGCCGCCCCCGCCGTGGCGGTCCATCCTGGCTGCTGCGTTTGACAGGAGCATCAGCATGGGTGCCGAGGTTGCCGCCACCGGCTGCTGATTGGGTGCCGCATACGTCGTCGGGGCGGTGGGCCCGTTCTGCGGCAGCACGAGATGGGCGCGTTTTGCCGGTGTCTCGCCGCCCAGCGAACGATGTGCCGTCGTTCTGCCCATGTTGTTGCTGATGTTGTTGTTGCTGATGCTGCTGATGCTGCTGGTGTTGTTGCTGATGTTGCTGGTGTTGGTGGTGTTGTTGGTGTTGGTGGTGTTATTGTACATGCCGGTGTTTGCGGCATTGCGATTGTAGACGTTGTGGCTGCCGTTGTGGCTGCCGTTGTGGCTGTGGTTGTTGGCTCTGCCGTGATTGCCGCTGTTGGCGCTGCTGTAGCTGCTAAACACGCTGTTGCTGCTGGTGGGGGTGCTGGTGCTGAAGACGCTGGTGGTCCCGCCGCGGCCACTGCTGGCGCGGCTGCCGTGGTCTGCACTGCCACCAGCAGGGTACATGTGCCAGGTAGCCATTGTGCCACCGTGCTCCATCTTCACCACATGCATGCGCCTGCTGGAAGTTGACGACGACGCCGACCCGAGCGGCCGCTTTGATGCGAATGTTCTGGTGCGGCCCGATGCTGCTGTTGAGGATGGCTTTGATGATGCGGGTGCTGTTGTCGCCTTTCCTGATTCCGCTGCCCTGGCCGCGGCCACCTCTGATGAGCCTTTGGAGCGGAAGGCGAACACGTTTTTGGACACCTTCCACGCGTAGGCGCCTGTGGACAGCTGGAGCAGGAGCGCAAACCGGTACCCGGTCATGCCGTAGCGCGGGAAGTCCGCCAACGTGCGCAGGTCGGAGCCGCTCGTCTGGTCCATGATGAAGCGGCGTGTCGACGGGATCATGCGGTAGGTGCGCAGCTTCGGCCACAGCCTGCTGTCGTCCTCATTTGGCGGCACGAGGTGCGCAGAGACCAGGAGGGCCTCCTTGGGCACAAACACCTCCACAAGGCGGCCACGGTCCGTCCACACGCGCGCAGAGCGGCGCTTGTGGACGGCGTTGACGTATGCGACATCCTGGTCGGGGAGGATATTGAGGATGTGGTCCACAAACTGCCACGTGTTTGGCTGCAGGTAGATCTCGAGCCAGTTGCCGTCGACGTTGCGGAAGGAGAAGCTTTCGTACTTTTGACCGTCGCGCATGGTGGTAAAGGTGTTGTTGGTGCTGCTGCCTGCTGCCACAGTGGTGGTGGTGGTGGTGGCTGCTGTCGTGGCATTGGTTGTGGTTGCGGCCGACGTGGTGGCTGCTGTCGTGGTGGTAACAGTGTTGGTGGTTGTAGTTGCTGTGGTGGTTGTAGTTGCTGTGGTGGTTGTGGGGGTGGTGGTGGGGGCAGGAGTGGTGCGCGCAACTGAGCTTGGCGCTGTGGTGGTGGTGGTGGTGTTTGTGCTTGCGGAAGCAGGGAACGGTGAGGGTGCTGGCATGTTCGTGTTGGAGGTGGGAGGCACTGGCCTGTGCACTGGTGGTGTCGCTGTTGCTGAAGTTGACTGCGGTTTCGACGAGACTTGCTGTGGCTGTCGGCGCGGTAACGAGGGTGCGGGTGCAAGAGGCCGTTGTCGCTGTTGTGGAAAGTAGGCGTGGGTGAATTGGCCCTGCTGCTGCTGCAATGGTTGTGGTTGTAGTGGTCGTTGTAGTGGTTGTTGTAGTGGTTGTTGTTGTGGTGGTGGTTGTAGTGGTGGTTGTAGTGGTGGCTGTTGTGGTGGCTGTTGTGGTGGTTGCAGCCGTTGTGGTGGTGGTTGCGGCTGTTGCTGGAGGGAGTTCTGTTGGGCATATGGGTGTGGCTGTGGTTGTGGCGGCGAGGGGAGGTGTTGTGGATATTGTTGTGGGTATTGGTGCTGGTGCTGCTGTTGGTAGGCGTGCTGCAGCATGGCGGATGAGGATGGGATGTGCTGGAGGCGTTGGAGAGGAATTTGGAGCTGCGACGGGTACATCTGGAAGGGCGGTTGCTGTTGAGGTGCAAGGGTTGTTGGTGTGCCCGTCGGAGGCAGGTAACCCCGGGGATTGGGCTGTGACATTTTGGAGAACAATGGAGGCAGGCAGGTTCTGAGAGTGAAGGGTGTTGTCGAAGAATGGGGAATAGATTGATTGAGATCCATCAAGCGTTCGCTTGATCTTGGCTTGGTGGCTTGGTGGCTTGGTGGCTTTGTGGCTTTGTGGGGCGACGTATGTATGCCTCAGCCTCGCTGTGGCTGAGCTTGTGGGAAACTGCGATAGATTGCTGGAGGTGGCTGTTGGCAGGTTGCGGGTGTTGCGGTGGGTGGTTGATGCTTGGAGCAAAATGTGTGCCTATGCGTGGGATGCGTGTGTGTGTGGTGTGTATGTGCGTGGTGTTTCACACGGTGTTGCGGTGGCCGCTGTCGATCTCCTTGATGGATGAGAAAAAAGCAAAAGGTGTGCTGACGAGCCAGCCAATCGGGCCCTCACGAAGGTTGGCTGTTGTTGCGTCAACGTGTGCGGTTGAGTGGGAGCGAGACGAAGGCAGGAACGCTGCCTCGTGCCGCACGCGGAGGTGTGTGCGCGTGCGCAGGGTGGGCGGGGGAAATGCGTGAACTTTCCAGGCAGCGTTGGAGGCAAGCGTGCGCTGGGTGATCGTGGGGCGAAGAGGAGGGGAGAGGAGGCGCACGCACAATGCGAACACGCGAACACGCGGACAAGAAGAACCAAAGGCAGTTGGGCCAGATGGAAGAGGAGGGGGGCACGCTGGACGAAGGGCCAACAAATCAAGGACGCGTGGCGCAAGGTCAAACGCCGCCAGCTGTCAACTGCGGGGCAAAATGGACGATTCCGTCCATTGCACGCACACGCAAAGAAGCGAAGGCGAAAGGGTGGACAACATCACGCAGTTTCCCACGGAGGGGCTGCAATGCATGCATTGCTCCTTCATTGCACACAAAATCAAAACGCTTCAGGCACAGGGTGCGGCTTTGGAGCAGCGTTCGGAGCACCGAAAGGACCGTCAGGTTGGGCACTCAACACACGCGTCACAGAAAAACTAAGGTCGAACTTTGGGCCGGCGACAATGACGTGACGTGCTTCAGCGAATGATAGGCAAAATTGACTTTGGGAACCAGGAAGGACGATGATGGATGTGCCTTCGATAACGGCTCTGGGCAGCACGCTCGGCTTGACGGGCGAGGTGTGTGTGTGTGTGTGGTTGAACGCGAGTTGTGGTAGTGGTGTTTGCAAGTGTGGCGCTGTGTGATGTGTGGCTTGCTTGTTCTTGTTTCGCAACATTTAATCACGTGCAAGGTTGTCATGTGCAGGCGCTGGCAGTGTTGGAGGAGCATGACAGGCTTGTGAAGCAGACAGTGACGCTGCTATCGCAGCAGGTGCGTGCTGTGTGTGCTGTGTGTGTGTGTGTGTGTGTGCTATGTGTGCTGTGTGTGTGTGTGTGTGCATATGAGGAGGTTGATCATGTGTTGTCGGTTGTGAGTCGCCCACTTTTGCTGGATTGTTTCGTTGTTGGTGGATGAACAGCTGGCTGAGGCGGAGGAACAGCTGCATGCGACAGAGGAGCGTGCTGTGGCAGCGGAAGCCATCGCCAAGGAATACGCCGAAATTGGTGTGTAAGCGTGTGTTTGTGTGTGTGTGTGTGTGCGTGTCTGTGTGTGTGTGTGTCTGTGTGTCTGTGTGTGTGTGTGTGTGTGTCTGT